AGCCACTACACCACGACATTTTTATCTGTGGGCGATCGTCCAGCCACTACACCACGACCTTTCTATCTGTGGGCGATCGTCCAGCCACTACACAATAACAGCTGGAAAAACAAATTGGTGGCAGCAAAAAAATTTCTTCTGAAAGGGGGTGGGGGGGGGGGGGGGGGGGGGGGGCAGTTGCGTATTTTGTACAGGAGGTCACAGACTAAACACTGTTAATTGTGGATGGTTGTTATTTCACTTGACCGTTTTATGTTCAGTAGTTTGCCACTGCTACCACTAGACGATCGGCTCTCAAAACCAATGCAAAAAATGAACACAAAGTGCCGTATTGCACGCAGCTAGAATCGAGCCGGACACTTCAGAATGACGACTTGCCCTTTGCAAGACTAGAGTCACACAATTATTTCTAGAGAAAATACAAATGGACAAGGTGAACTGAGAAAGCGGTAAAGAAGCAGATGTTCATTTCTGAATTAGTTTTACCTCTGTGTGTGTGTGTGTGTGTGTGTGTGTGTGTGTGTGTGTGTGTAAGAATCTATGCATCCCCCCACCACCCCCCCCCCCACCCCCACCCCAGATATCCTTATAAGTTTTGTCTATAAATATAATATTTTCTATTTATTTATTTTTTGTTTGTTTTGTTTGTTGTGTTGTTTGTTTTGTTTGTTACGGTATTTTTCTAAATTGATGGCGAAATCACATCCTTGTAATTTCGGCTGAACGTGAAATACTTTCACTAACCTTCAAGCTGCGGAGACCTACCCCCAAACCCAAAATTTTTTTTTTTTTTTTTTTTTAAATAGACTTAATCAATTTTAGGCGGTAATGATAGGACGAGCGTCGACTTGTGTCTGCGAAAACACAACCTTATGTCCCAAGTAATTATGTTCATTTCTCAATAAACACATTCACAAGTAAACAATTTTTTGATATTAGTGCTTACAGCGACGAGGACACCATCTTGCCGTCACGTGGATTCTCCCAGCTTTCACGACATCCTGTCGAGATGTTATTTACCGACACAGACGTTGCTCTCATGAAGTTCCAAACGAGGCTCTGTTCCTTCTCCGGTCTGCGTGGATACCCCGTCTGATAATTTGTAAGTATGTATTTATTTATATTTGTTAAATGTCTGCCAGTATGTTTATAAATCTCTCTGTCAGGCCTGTCCTGTCTGTCTGTTTGTCTTTACTGTATATTCGCAGGTGATTATGAACACTTGATCATCTCCATAGATAGATTAAATGTTAGACTATGACTTTCGGTCATATATTTGTTAATGCCTAATTCATTTTCAAGTGACAGTCCTTTTTTTAGACAAAAAAGGTGGAGCAGAGTGGTGGGGGGAAAAAACAAAAGGAAAAAAAGGACTGGAAGTAGTAAAGTTTTAAAAGTATCTTCATTAACCACGAAAGTCAGTACCCACGATCGACACTTCCCCGAGCTTGCAATTAGATACTCGGGTTGTGAAATGTAATTGTCTTAGTAGTCTATACTTCTACCTCCTCCCGCTGTGCGAAGAGAGTACTGATCTCTATTGGTTTTCGAAGTGATATTTGTCAAATGTCAGTCGCGAGAAGCCATCTTGGTCTAACCAAACAGCGGCTTCGTTTTATGTAAAAACAAATTTTTAATAACGGTGTGTAACTCATAAATGGTTCAGTTACTAATTGTAACACCAGCTTATTAGAACCAACAATGAAGCCTAAGAGGGCTACTTACCGAGCATATCAACAGAAGACATTAAATAAAGGATCAGTCATGTGTGGTAACTGTCACGTCTCAGTGACAGGGAAGACAGATAAAGTGGGTTTTGAACATTTTTTAAAAATACATTTGTCGACGGCTGTGGTTTTTGCTGGTAATGCGAATGCCGATTCATCCCACTCGGGCGATTTTACACAGACCTTCTTTTGTTGGTCTCGACA